TTTTTTCTTTAGTGGATAATGTTGTAAAATTGATTCATATCCTTAATTTTGTAATGCATCATTAATTACAAATTTAGATAGTGTTTACAAAACATTGTTTCATTTTTTTTAGATATTCTTTCAATTTTGATTTGAATATCATTAATTACAAATTTCCAAATATGTAACTTGTGAGTCTTCACTTTTATCATACTTCCTAAATTCTTTGTATAATTTTGTAATGTTTATATCATCTTACCATTTTTTACTTTTTTTTTCTCCTTTTTTCCTCTTTCAACTTTTTAATATGTTGAAAATCCTCTATCCTATATTTTTGTTTATCTATTAGTCGAAATCTTTATCAAGTTTTGAAAAACTTCACCGTCGTTATTTAAACTATGTAATTACGCTCATCAGTTAATAAAATCATTAATTTATTTATTACTTTAAAAATCTAAAACTTGAACCATTAAAATTTAAAATACGCAGTGTTTGGACAAATTAGTAAAACCTTTATAGCTAAAAAATGGATGGAACATTTCCTTCATAAATTGATGTATTTCATTGAATAGCACGATTTATATACCATATTAAAAATATCATGCTTTGGTTTTTTTAATATTAACTCAAATATCAACGTACATATGAATTCATTTATATCTATATCTATTAATATAAAAAAGGGACTAAAGAATTAACTTAATAGTGAGAAAAAAATCTAGTCTAAAATTTTTTATTTTACTAAATATAGGAATTCCAAAATATTTTTAATTTTTCCACCTTTAAAATATGATAAATAAAATTCAAGAAATAATTCTAAATTCACAATCTGATAATAATTGATAATGATTCTAAATTTAAAATCTGATGATAAAATTTGCAGCACATTTTTTAGTATCTATGTAGAAAAAATAACAATTATAATGTACACCATATATGCAAATATATATGTCATTTTTTTATTGGCAACATATCCACGTAAGTTATCTATTTGTTCAATTCCATGCGGGTGTATTATTTTTTTTTTTTTGAAAAACTGCAAGATATACGGGTAATTATTGAGTTGTCCATATTACATGTAGACCCAATTTTTTTTATTATTATTATTGAAAAATTTGCTACATGATAATATTAATTTGTTCTTTCTATATATGTGCATTATATCTTTATATTTAGAATATCTCAAGTACGTGGAACCCGACTCCCAGTTGGATTTAAAGTCATTTGAGCAAATTTTTTATATATATATCGGAATCATCAAAATCAAAAGAAAGAGAACAAGCACAAATAAATTGAAATAAAGAAGAAGAAGAAGTCTATGATTTGCATCACAGTATTGAGATAAAGAAGAAGAAGAACATGTATCGGCAGATCCAACCCGAGGTGCAGTTCCACTTTCATATCCATTGGGGAGTTGAGTTTGGCTTGTGTCAATGCCTATTTGGCCGAATGCTTGCTCCGTACATGTTGAGTCAAAGTTTCATACCTATTACCAGTTTTGATTGAGTACCTCTTCTGGTTGTCTTGGGAACTATGGTTGCAAATGTATATAAACCACTTCTCACCCCTACTCGGATTGAACACCTTCGTGAAATGTCTTGTGAATATATCGAATACCAAAGCTCGACCCGAAGACCCAGCAACCAGAGCTGGTGGCGGTTGAGCAACAGCTACAAGCGACATCCTAATAGCCCTCGGGGATATCCTTTAAATTTCGACATATTTCATCGACATCGTATTCTTCGACATTATATTCTTCGGAAAAAATGATGTCTTCACAGATGTATTACCGCTCTTTGAAGCTACACTTTTCGCTTTGGCGGTCATCCAATATGAGAACTCAACATTTTTATAACTTAAAAAGTACATAACTACACTTATAAAAAAACTTAAGAAAATGAAAGAGATGATAGTTAGAAAATGCGATTAATTTGAGTATATAGAAGAAAATAATGATAATTTGGTGTAAATATGAAGAGGTGAATGGGGTATTTCTGGGAAACTTTTTGCAATTTTTTTCCGACGAAAAGCCAATTCTGGGTCGGCCCGTGGGTTGTCAAATTACACCATTGGATAGACCAATGTTTTTTCAAAAATTCGAATTCTATAAATTATGGTGCCAAACCGTGGCTAGGCCTGAGAACCGACTGTTAGATTTTTTTTATATGAACTCGAACTGGCCCAAACATAACACGGTTTCGATTTACGAACAGTGGTCAACAGTTGGGCTGGTTCCAAACCCGTTGGTCAACAGGCCGGTTCAGTCAGTTCAATAGGTCAGTTCAGAACTTGGCCATGTCTACACTAAACGTCAATAGTAACACGTTCAAATCAAACACAAACTTGCCTGAAATAATCGACATTGCGCCGCCAATCAATAACTGGAAACGCTACTGCTATCATCAAGTACAACTAGGCTCACCCCATGATCAATAATCATACCCCAAACAACTCTTAGTATAAAATGACACGACAACTCAAAGCATGAACATTTTACAAGGCCAAAAACAGAAAACTCATTCACATCGGTACGTTAAACTACTACACAATCACTACATTTCCAAACCACCAGTTGCACAAGGAAAGATATCTAGATACACATCAAACCATGTAAGTCATGCCGACCTGTATGAGGTGCGAGTGGGGAACAGTCAGATTTGCAGTCCCCCGCCTGCAATTCCTCCTCAAGAAGGCGTAAAAGTAGTTAATCACAAGCTTCTTGATAAACCACGACTCCTTGCGGGCCCTAATGTCCCCGTGCCCGAGGAGATACACGACTCCCGACTCCTTTGCCTTGCGCAAAAACGAGAGCTCCTTCTCGAGGCTCTGCTCGGCATCGGCAGCCGACTGCTCGTTGTGGGCCCCAGCTTGATTTTCCTCGACTTCCTGCAGTGTGGTTGCCCCTGAGATGAAGTTGGTCGTGTCCTTGAACTCGGCCAGGAGAGGGACGCCGAGGGAGTAGACGCTGCCGTTGGGAGCGATTAGGATTCTCGACAAGTTGTTTTCTTCTTCAGAGTCGTCCTCGTCGCCGTCGCTCTCCAGGGATCTCTCCTGGGCTTCACGCCGGATGAATTTCTCGAGGCTTTCGATTAGCAGCTGCTCGAAGTTCTGGTGGTTTTCCTTGCGCACGTCCTTGTACCCGTATCTGTTAAGGACAGTGAAATTTTAAGAAAATAAAATATATAAAATAGGTTGCTTTGTACTAGCCAATGTTGAGTAACTAGTTAACTGCTATAATACAGGGAATTTTCCTTTTTTTTTTCTGCTATCTATGATGTCAATAACCTATTACAAATAAATGGAATTAGCTGAACTACAAAATAATAACAATATTTTTTCAGAATTACAGACAAAAGACTTAAGTTTATGTGTTTACAGAAACCCTATTGAGGGTAAATTTGGGACACTTAGGGTGTGATTAGCTATAAACTTAACCAAAAAAAAGAACCAATCAAAACTCAAATTTAACTCAACTCCACTATCCTCAATATCATCAATATAATTAAATAGTATCAACCAATCATTCTTACACATTACATCAACTTTAATTCACTATTCATCCAATCACATAATTTTAACTAACCATCACTTCCAACCATTTTTCTTCTATTTTTACATCAAATCAACTTTAATTATTTTATATTTAATATTATTTTAATTTAAACTTGAATTGCCACTAACAACTAACCATACCACATTTTTCAAAATTAATTATGGTTAAAAAAAAAAACCACTCAGAAACCAATCAAATTCATACCCCATCACACCCTACTAGTGTAATACACCCTACTAGTGTAATACAGGATACACCCGCGCCAAAGATGAGGCACCAAAGCACTCAAGAAACTCTCGAGGAGAAATATCCAGAACAGAATAAAGCTAATGGTAGAGTAAACAATTGCAGCAGATTACCTGGCAACACAACGGAATATGTGGTAGCTTTTCGCGCAAACTCGTCTGAAAAGGAATCTCTCACTTTGAGGCACTACAGATACCGGGACATACTTTATACACACAAATATGATCATCGAATGAATAGCGGGTAGAGTGGTCAGGAAGTGCCCGAATATAGAAGGTATCCCCTTTGCCAGCTCATTGTAAAGCAATCCAATGCCAGGAGCTCTAACTGTCCCCAGATTGGGACCCAGTTCCCGCAGCACGTCAATTGACATCTTTTGCTTCACTTCTGTTTCATACTTTAGCTTGCTCCCATAGTTCCAGATGTACATTATTAAGAATATGACAATGGCGAACACGAGTATGATCCAACTCCCATCCCCCACACTCCACAAAACGGAAGAAAAGAAGGTCAACTCCAACCCCAGGAATATGATAACAAAACTCATCACAACAATAATGTTTATCTGCCATATAAGAAGCATCACTAGGGTCACTAAGCTTGTAGTCATCATCATTACTCCAAGTTCAGCAATCCCTGCACAGATAATCAAAATTAGAGGATAGAATGCATGTCTTCACATTAAGCGACAGAAACAAACATTTACATTGAGCTGGCTCATTTTTTCTGAAATAAAGTAATAACGCCAGCTTGCATGCAAGCATAAAGATGTTAAAATTAGGCATTTATATCAAGAAATGAAGTAAGAGAACTGGTGATCATTAACTAAACTTCAACAGAAATAATAAGAGAATTACCATATGCATTGCCAATCTCATAAATACTTGAGATATTGCAGACTAACACAAGGGTCAGAATCAGCAGAAACCAGTTCATGACTGGAATATAAATTTGGCCCATGAATTTTCTCGAGGTGTGTATAATTTTCAGACGAGGAAAGCAACCAAGTGACGTGGATTGTTTGATACAAGAGAAAGTGGCAGTCGTCATAGCCCTACTAGCAATGAGTGCAGCTACATTAGCTATGAGGAAGACAGGCCAGAAAGCTCCACCTGAAGTAGATTAAAGAGAAAGGCAGATTTCATGTTCTGTTCATTTTACACACTTGATGATTGCATATCACGAATTTATACAGAAAACTCAAAAGCTGGAAGTTAGAAAGTAGTAACAAATTGTTTTCATATCACCAGCCATATCTGGTCAATCAAGATGCTATTGGTCCTTTTAAAACTACAACCAAGAGAAATAGTCATAGCAAGATAAACTTGTAATTACTTGGAACAGAAGAGAAGAAAGCCTGTGTTGTATCTGCATGGTTCTCCATAAGATAAGCAGCTTGACCTAGGTAACCCAAAAGGAGGCAAGGTAATACCAGCAACCCAAATGTAAGCTGTCACAAGCAATTCACATTTTTGGTCAGCAAAATTTTTTATTTTCTAAGGGAGAAGGGAAAAACTTGAAAATGAATTTGAAACTACTGCAGATCGATACTTACCTGTACTGATCTAACAGAAAAATAGCATAGATCCGCAAACATTGCCTCAGAACCTGAGACACATAACCATCATCAGGAATTAATAAGAGATTTTAATGTAAAGTTACATAAACAGACAAATAATATCCATGACAATGTATTGTGCAGGTCAGCTAACAATTGAAAAGTACATGTATAGCATTTCAAATTTAAGCAATACCCCTATATTTTTTAAACTAGATATTACAAATATAAATATGGAAACGAAAATTTTACACTAAAAAAATATATCCTTCTTTTAACCTGCAAGTGGATTGAAAACTCGGTTAGGAACAAGAGTGTACGACAAGTTTTTCTAATTAAATTGTAATGGCAAAGCTATTCCATGATAAGCTACCAGAAGGGCTGTAAACGAAAAAATATTTGTAGACATTTTTGTTTCATTCCCCCAGTTTTGTACACTGTAAAAACTATAAAGGAGGATACTTTCCAAATGATAAAACATTTACTCTTTGTACTCAAACGTATGCCCAGATGTTCACACAGTCCGATCACAAGTCTTCGAACTTATGCCATGATATGCATGGAATGCCATGAAAAAGATCATTCGAATCCAAGAAATTTGTGGACCAACCAATGGTGTATTAACTTTTAAGAGGTCAACATAATAGAGCAATGAGACACTGTTGTACTTCACAGTTTACCTGTCGCACAAAGAATACATCCCCCTAAGGAGTACCAACCCTTGGTTGAATTGCGCTGGAAGAAATAATAGATATGAATTGGATTGAATGCCCGAAGAACACCAGTGTCATATTTGAGAAGGTTGTATATGCCAATGCCCCCAAGAGAACAAAACCATATAAACAAGGCAGGACCAACAACAAGCCCAACTTTACTTGTTCCGTACCTCTGTAAACTGAACAAAATTATAAGAAATGCGACCGAGATCATCACCACGTGATCTGCACAAAACTTAACTCTCTTAGTAATTCATTGTGCTGCATAGGGATTATACAAACAAATACAGCACATTTATGGATAGGGTTTAGATTTTTTTCATATGGATATGATATAGATATAATTAAGAATTTTCCGTTCTGGCCCGGGGCATAATTTTTCTGGCATGAGGTGGCAGAGTTTTAATCCAAATTCCATTGTCAAGAAAAGACACAGGACCACCAGTAGCGCATTTACATCTTCCTCCACCCAATACTCTTTTTGTTCGACTTCCTTAACAGTTAATTTCACTCAATTGAGTGTAACCAAAATACCATAGCATCAGGGTATACCAGTGCACTGATATTTCCTTGTAAGTGAGACAAAAGTTTCTTCTACTGTAAGCAAAGGTAATATGAGTAGCAACTAAAAAAACAGACATGAGACACATAAGGCTCTCCCGACATGTAATTGACTGGCAGATTATGAATCTACTGCATCAAATTCATACTGTTATTGCATACCTTAGAACACATGACTCATAACGCAGAATAACACGAGAAATTAGCAAAGTCCAACCCCAAATTTGCAAGATAATGTTCGATATGGTCAANGGAAAAAAAAAAAGAAGAAAAAGAAAAAGAAAACTTAGAATCTGGATAAGAAGAGAATACTTAATCCAAGATTCCGATAGGATTTAACGAATCATTCACCTTGTGTAAACCCAGAAACTCCAACTTTTAAGCCACCGACAGCCGATATAACTGCACAAACATAACTGAAATGATTAGCCACTTGAAGTAGTTAACACATTATACAGCTCCAAATTTCCTCCTTCATCAGACCAGAAAAGAACTATACTATTTAAAAATAAAAAGAGCCAAAAGATATATTTCTATGAATCACCTGACATTGCAGGTGTGACGACACCATCAGCAATAACCATAGAAGTGCCAGCCAGAACCAACATCAGGAGAAGCTTTTTCAATGTCAGAGAAGCTTCAAGTCTTTCCTTAATTTTCAAGGACCTCTCCAGTTCAGCAGATGGTACCTTCAGTCTAAAGCTTGATATGCGAGCATCTGATGGCAGTTGGTTGGGCAGAAGACTAACTTTGGCATGCCTACATATTAAAGAGTACAAAGCAAATGTGCCACCTACAGAAATTTGGAGAACCGAAAATATAAAACGTCTACAAATAGATGAATATCATGATCATTATAAAAATATAAGGTAGTACCAACTCGTAATTTACCTTCACCATCATCGTTCGCCCAAAGAACAATACAGACATACTTGATCAATGAGACCAGAATTAAAGTGTACAAAACTAAAGACAGTGCACCAAGAACATCTTCATCCCCATTGACTGGTGCTTTGCTGAACATCACGCTGAAGGTGTATAGTGGACTAGTCCCCACATCACCAAAAACGACCCCAAGTGTCTGAAAGGCCAATACAAATCTCCTGCCCAAAGTGACATCCTGCAATTAATTTTCTGTATTAGACTGCAAAAGTAGCTTAAGAGAAATAAATTTCCAGAAGAAAATTCAAATATGAAGCATACGGAACTAAAAGGTTTAGCCAATGAAAGTAGATCCTTAAGCTGAAGACAGTGCCAGAGTACAGTACATTAGTAAGGACGAAAACCATAACATAATCCTTGAAGTGGAAATTACATGTCATTCTAAACATGAGAATAGGTTAGTTACTTAAACAGTAATCACGAGTTCTGGGAGAAAGAGTTTGGCAAGGGAGAATTTGGTGTCATCTATTGGGACTTCTGGACACATGGTTATTAGTCTAGAAAAGCACAGGAAACTGTCATACGCATTTGGTTAGTAACTAGGAAATAATGTTGTCCAGATGAAGCCAAAAGAAAACAGAGGGTTCACCAAAATTACCCATTTCGCATTAAGTCTATCACGGAGTCCCATTTATCAGTCACCACCGAATCTTTCCAAGAATAATGATCCAAAATTACCCAATATCCAGTGCTCCATCTCAGAAAGAAATTTCTCTATCGAGGGTTTCTTTATCTTTGATCAACTTTAGGCAGGTACTCCATAAGTAAAATTTGTCTTATCTACAGTCCAAATTCAGCATTGACAAAGTAAAATCTACTCTTTAATCCAAACTTAATCCTTTGCCGCATTTCCACCTTCTGGCTTTTCAATCAACACCGACATTTTTAGCCACAACAAGAAAGATGTTGATATATCACAATATATAAGAACAAGGATAGTAGCCAAAGGGTATAGTTCTAATTCCATTATGCCCCACAAATGGAAGGTTTAGAGTCTAAAATCATATTTGCCAGAAGAAATCTAGCTAATTGCAACTTTTAATATCCAACCCAACTACACCTGTTCTTTTCTCCAACCCCCCTCATAACCAAAATCCTTTGAATCCAAATTAGGCAAGGCACTACTTTCATGGAAAAGACAATAACCAAACCACACAAGAAAAAATGCATCCACATCCAGACTATGACTCGCACACAAGATATCGCCCTCATAAATCAACTCAAATTAAATCAAACCGTACCTCAAAATCATTCCTCTGAGCTCCAGGAACTTCGAGCGCCTCAACATCGAACGAGTCGATCCGAGGCCCCGTCCGGATCAGCCTCTGCTCGGCGTTATCCTCGTCGTCGGAATCCCGCAGCGGCGACTCGACGCCGCCGTCTCCACCGTCGTCGATCTCGGACCCCTCCTCGTCCTGGTACACCCAGCGAGAATCAATTGAATCCATCGATGCAACGCCCCTGCTCCCCCTCTCCGATCCCTCTTCCGTCACCTCCCTCATGTCTTTTTCTCAGACGAAATTTTCTCGGGTGTACGTATACATGTCGGATTCGGCCATATACGGACAAATTATAGCACGGATTGAGGTTTTCCTGATGATAATCGGGTGCCTGAATGAAGCAGATTTTATCTATTACTTTTTTTTTTTTTCGGAAGAAAGTGTTGGGGGAATTAAAGTGCAACTAACTCTGGTTACGAACGCATCGCTGGCCAGGGCCTGGAAGTCTGGAACTGACACAGGGAAGTGAGTGAGTCTAACGTGTGCCGTGGGAGAAATGCGCACCAGCTGGCGCACGGTAAAACTTTTTATTTATTTATCATTATATAATAATAATAATTCGCTCTCATGGGAGTGGCTCAAGCAACGGTTGTCTTCGGATTATTACGAACACCTATGATCACATTTATCCTTTTCTTCACAATTATGAATTGTTTGAATAAAATATATAAATTATATTTATAAATATTATCTTTAAATTATATTGGAATTTTAAGTGACATTTTAAGATTTTTTAATATTTTTATATTTTAGAGGAATTCTGTAGAATCTCAAGTTTGGAGGTAGAATTTGAAGTAAAATTTCGTATAAAGCTTTTTTTGTTTAGAAATTTCATACAATCTTAAAAAGTTCTAACAAATCCTAGTGCCAAATAAATTACCTCAGGATTTTTTGTAAGATTTTTTAAAATCCAAATTGAGTACTCCAAGACTTTTAAAAGTCATAAAAAGTCTTAACAAATGTAAATTAAATACACGTGAATTTCTAAAGTCTTAAAAAATCCTTAAAAATCTCAATCGAATATACCCCTAGAAGTAGGTGTATGACATGTTATAAATGTGGTTATGAGTAAAAATAATTAACATAATTTTAACTGATTTTATATATATATATATATAGGGTGGAATGAGTCAACTCTTTAAAACGAATATATGAGACTCAATCTTAGTCATTGATTTTGTGTAAATCAATGACTCATATAAATATAACAAAAATAATTATTATTATATTAAAAATAATTATATAATAAATAAATTCGTTGACCGTCCTTGACTGTCGGCCATTGACTAGTCAATAGCTCTGTCGGAAAGTGAATTTTCACATATCTCGCTCTCTAAGTGGCTGGAATCTCTAGTGCCGGCCGAGAACAGCGTTTTTCGGCCAGGAGCTCTTCGTCGGCGTGTCCACTCTCTCGTGCCGCCACCACCACCAACAACTTCCTCATGAAGCGCCTCTTCGCTTCCTCCCAGTCATAGCGTTGCTCCGTCAACAGCAAGGACGTCGTCGTCTTCCAGAGGAAGCTCCAGAAATCCGTCTTCGAATCGAACATTAGACAAAAGCTCATTGTCATCAGTCGAAGCCACTTCACGAGCATTGTGAAGCTCCTAGGCATCTCGATCTTTGGCGATCACATCTATCTCGCCTACGAATTCGTCTGTGAGTCGGACTTGGAGTTGTGCCTGCATAACAAATGAACCCTAAATTCACGATTCCCTCCAATTGGATGTCTTGCATTCAGATCGTGACCAATGTAGCCCATGCCCTAGACTACATCCACAACACAACAGGGTTGGGCATCGACATCGTCCACAAGCACGTCAAACTGCAGTGGCATCCTCCGAGATGGGACTGAAAATCAAATTTGGGATGGACTATTATTTTAAAATTAGACAAATCAGGAGAGTTTATTTGCAATTTCAAAAACTTATAAATTATTGCAATTTTATTCTTAGGGGTCAATCTGTAATTTATTTAAAGTTTGAATAACTTATGGTCGTTGAGGTTTTATATTATGTAATTAATGCACATTTAAGGGGTTGTATTCAATTGAGACTCATAAGACTTTTTAAAACTTTTAAAATTTTGTGACTATGGTAGACTTTGTAAAACTTTCATGACTTTCGTGAACTTTACTTTCAGAGAATTTTCATTGGAGACTTTTTAAAACTTTCATAATGGACTTTCTAAAACTTATTAAGACTTTTATATACTTGTAGGTATAACTATTATGTTTGCATGAAATGTTTATGAACATAACATAATAACTAATATCAAGAAGAACAAAGAAAAGAAAAGAGGTTTTGTATATTAATCCTCCGAAAAATTATGAATTAACCCATTGTTATGTGAAATGAATTGTTCACGTACAAATTGTTTAGGGCTTTAAATTTATTAAACGATCAAGTCGATCATAGCTTCAACGAGTCGAACTCGAGCAGAGCCTTGTATTTGTTTGTTAAAAGAGCACAAACTCAAATATGTGTTACACATCGCTGCTACACTGACACTTATAATCAACTCAAATCAAGATATATTTATCTGATTATTGATTGATATTATTTTTTATATTTTTTTGCATAATGATGCAATAATAGAAAAATATTATTAGGATATATTTTTTCAAGATACAAACATTGTCAAAAAACAGTAATTGTGTCTTAAAAAGTTATCAATAATACTCAAAATAATTCAATATCAACAAATAAACTATTAGCAAATAAAATAAACTATTTAATATTTGAAAATAGATATATACAAACAAAAAGAGAGAACAAATAAATTATTTGCAAGTGCAAAGTAAGCATTTAACCTTTGAAAAGTCAAATTCACAAGAAATCAAAATGAGAGAATGGTATACACACATATAATAATCCTAATAAAAAATTTATAAAATAAAAAATCACGTTAAATATACGTAAATGTATCAAAATAAATGAGTAAAATAACAAAGTATGAAAGTGATATGAGATATAAAATCGTATTAAAGAAAGAAAAAAGAAAGAGAATGAAGAGAATCACATAAGTCCAGCAAAATCTCACCAATTTGATGAGATTTCTGTTAAAACTTTCTCTTTGTAATTTTGTTACAAAAGTATTCAAAGTCTTACAATTTAAAAATTCTCAGAAAATCTTCTTAGAGATTTATAAAAAGACTTTGGAAGTCTAAAAATTGAATTAGAAGCCTCTAAAAGTTTTAATTGAATACATCGGAATTCTAAAAATCTTTAAAAGTTTAAATTGAATACACCCCTTAATATTGTATTTGATCATAAATATTCCTATATATATACATAATTTTTTATGTTTGAAAAAAACAAATATAGTGGTCAGGTCAAGTTGGTTTGGCCTGGTTCGAACGACCCGCCCGTACCAGTCCCCGGCTCTGGACCGGCCAAGTATAAAGACTATGTTTAAGAGTACAAAATTTCGATCGAACAACAAAACAAAAATGTCCTAGCTTGTTTGGACAAAAATATATTTTCAATGCCACCTTGTCAGTTTAGATTGTCTAGTGAATGATACTCTTAACAATGTCTCACTGTGTATCAGACAGCGGTCTGTGGATGACCAAATGAAATATTTTCAAATGCATGGAAACCAAAATCGACCAGAATTAATTCTTCAAACAGCAAAGCAAAATCAAATATCTGAACCCATCTTCACAGGAACCATTGCAAACATCATTTCATAACAGACAACATGATAAATTTTTAAGATTAAAACACCATTCGGTCAAGGCCTATGAACAAACCTGTTGTGTAAAAAGTATTATGAGATACAAGTTGTCATTCAACACCCAGTCTTTTCTAACTTGCCTCGGCTACACTGGTGTCCTGTTGGACCTCGTCATATGTCCCTGATTCTTCATTATAAGCATACCTGCGAATGGAGAACACCAGTGAGCAGCTCTATTCACAAGGGGTTGCATACAATTGATTAGAATTAGGGAATCATCAAGGTCAAATTGGTCTTTTTCCAGACAGTATCATGCAGTGGTCCAAGTCGTGCTTCAAAATAGTCATGTTTATTTCTAATATTAACTGCAAGAATGCATTGCTTCAACGTGCTGCTTATCCAACATGTGGACAAAATGAAATACCGATTCCAACAGATTATCAATATCACACACACACACACACATATATATATATATTATAAATATATAATCAACAGTGCTGGGCTGCAGCTTGCAGGAACATAATAAATCACTTCCATTTATGAAGGGCAGTATAATATTATGAATTCCAAAAGTCAAAATTATACTAAAAGTCATGGCCACGGTTACCATTTCCCAGAAGCTGCGCAACAGTACAACCCAGAAGAAGGATCATAGTAATAACCCGAACTGCTGCTGTAGTAATATCTGAAAAATAAGTGAATTTCAGAAATTTCAGGTGATGTAAATTGATTTCGTGATGGATAGATAATTCATGTTCAGCAAAATATGATTTTCTTTATTTCCATTCTTTTACCGAAAGCCTACAGCTAACTTGAGATTGTGCATCGTCTGGTAAAGGTTTTTTAATAAAACAAGAAACTGTACATTTTATAGAGAAGTGAATACAGATGACCAACATTCAGGAATGGCAACTGGTTACCCAAAGAGTAAAATTGACATGAAAAGAGGCATACCCAGAAGACTCATCGTACACATAATCATTTTGTGGTTCTCCACCTGAAATTCCGTATAGATAAACAAGTCACAGGATATGGCTTAATTTCTCTACCATTTGTTTCAAGTTTAGAGTTTATAAGCATACTCTCAGGTTGCAGAACAGAGGCTGATCCACTCCCATTAGTGGCAGGATTCTCAGGGGCGCTACCATCATTATCCCCAAACATGTCAAAAATATCACCTGATTCCTCCTGAACTGAAGTTCCTGAGATACCTTGCTTCCTTGCTTTCACTAATTTCTCATAACCCTCTGATAATTAAGAATGATGTAAGATATATCAGAAGAAAGTACCATTTAGAAGATAAAAAGTGATATTTATAAATGTCTCTAGGAGAACTTTCGAAAAATATGCACAGCCTACATTATATAATCTCGAAAATAACATACATCCGAAGCTTCTAGGCTGCCTTAGCTTCTTTTCTTATTATAAAATACAATAAAATGAAACACAAGGATGGGTTGGCATGACATGTCCACGAGAACAATACAAATAAGATTCAGAGAGCTGCATTATAAATGGATAGGACTTGTACTGGTAAATGGTAATCAGTATTACGTGGTGCACACAAAAGGGAAGTGACTCCAATAATGTGGTCATAAAAAAACTGAGAAGTAGGCGTTATAAATGGAGAAGAACAATACAAAGAATATTCAGAGAGTTGCATTATAAATGGATAGGAAGTAAGTATTACGTAGTGCAGACAAGAGGGAAGTAACTTTATTAATAAGTTCATAATAAAACTGAGAAATAGTCATCATATTTGAACCAGATGCAATCATATCATTGAATGTCAAAGAGATCTCATTAGCAAGGCAACAGAACACACCTGCTTCTCGCTCAAAATGTTCTCGTTTTTCCTCGTACACATCTGTAAACATAAAGGGACCGAATAGAGTTAGTGAATATCAGGCAATATATATCACTTCTAAGATTCACTTTAGACAGAAAAAGAATAAACTCAACCGTAATCTCCATTCTCCATCAATTTCATGGCATCTTCAGTTAGCTGATCAAATTGCTGTTTAGTTTGAGCGGACATTTTTTGCTTCTTATCAGTAGAACCCTTTAACCTCCTCAAAGCTCGCAAAACCTGTGAAAAAGTAGGCAATAAGATCCTAGAAGAACTTCAATACAAATATCGACATTATTTATGTATTGCCATTACATAAAAAAAGAGTATCCGTACCAGTCACTTAATAAAAACTTTATATAAAAAAGCAATGGGTAATGCATAAATAAGATCCTAGAAGAATTTCAATACAAATATCGACATTATTTATGTATTGTCATTACATCAGTGTTGTCAAATGGCGGCGCGTGGCGGATTTTTGACAATCCGCCATGCTAAATTTGTGAAGGATGCCAGTCATGGCGGCGCCATGGTGGCCGCTTTGGGGGATTTTTTGGCAAACCGCCATTAATAACACTGCATTACATAAAAATAGCATCCGTACCAGTCATTTGATAAACACTTTATATAAAAAAGCAATGGATACTGCATAAATACAGGAGCCACGCAGCACAATTGAGCGCCCTAAATATCTCATAATGGGAGGAACGGATGGGAATAATAGCAAACATCAACGTAAAATCAGATTTCTGCAAGCTCGTCTCCCCAAAAAAAGAAGAAGAAGAAGAAGATGGTCGTATGTAGACAGTACAGAACAAACAACACGACTCAAAGCTCACCGTCTCCCCAGGCTCAAGAACATCAGCAATCCTCCGATTGATTTCTGCAAGCTCGTCGGTAGCAAGATCGCGTGGCTCATCATTACTCGTGGAAATCGAGCTCTTTCCATCAAACTTTTCATAAACATCAACACTGTCAAGCCACGCGTCCTGCAAATGAAACACCGTAAGCCCAACAAACTTGCCAAGATAATCATATTATATACAATTTTCACTACCTTGATCTCATTCTGCATCATGTATTCGACATAATTCCCGTTTTCATCAAAGTACCCTTCTTCTCTCTCCTTGTCCAGGTTAAATGGTTCCAGTTCAACACCTTCTTCAACGAAAGGTTCATTGTTCTGCAAAACATTCACCTCCCTATTATTTATCCTATTAATCTAACTAAAGGGAACAGACAATCAACTGCTTAATAGTTAAAAACAGAAAGTTATCCAAAGAAAACACCGTATCCAGTATATAAAAATAGGACCATCAGGGAAAAAAAAAATCAAGGAACCATTACTCGACTTTACCTTGTACTGGACTTCTGCTCTTTTTATGTCAGGTACAAAATCATTGTTTTCATCAATAAAAAGCTCTGTTGTATTCTTACTGCGACGAACAGCCCGATCACTGGCTGCAGACTTAGGATCCTTAAATTTAGGAATATCTTCACCACCTTCATCCCTAACAAAATCTCCCCCTTTTATCTTCTTACCTTTCGGAAACCTCACCCTTTTCTCCCTGTGTATGTAGACACATGGACACACACACAAAACACAAGAAAAATTAGTTCACTGCGGAAACATCCAAACCATATTCTACTATCATCAAATTAATTCCAATTCCACTTCTCAGTTAGCCAAATGTCTCCCAAATTTGCTCAATAAGTTGGGCAAGCAATTTAGATTCGTTGAACCACTAACTATAATTCTAAAATGATTATGCAGCTGCGAGGCGGGTCAATACATGTAAATCGCATAAACCCTAACAGGTAAGCATACAACCTGTCGCCAAATTCGCAAAGTTAGACGCAAAAGTTATAAGCAACTAAGCGAGACATGGATATGGATATAAATATGATTGCAAACATCAACAAAAGGGGGGAAATGGAGAATTACGGCGGTGGTTTGTTTGATTCATCGTCGTCGACAAAGGAGCGCTTCAGGCTGCCACGCGACGACTCTTCTGCCATTGTCTGATTTCTGATTGGTGTGAGAGCGAAAATGGAAACAAGCTGAGGCTATGTAAGAACTGGGCTTTTGTAATCATAACCACTAAAGAGAAGTCCACATATGAATCATTTAATATAACGAAATTTACACACATATTCTGTTTGTTGGTTCCTACAAAATTTATATCTATATCTATATCTATATCTATATCTATATCTATATCTATATTTAAGAATTAACATTTACTAAAAATAGTAACAAAAAAAAATAGATCATAATTTAATGCAATCTATAAATAGTAAGTTTTATTATTTTTCTTATTTTTTCCTTTAAAAATCATACAACATTAAATGCTACCTTAAATTTCGAGCTTCTATTCATTTTATTATTTAAAAATCCAGCTAAGATTTATTAAGTGTGTATGTTTTTATTTTTATTTTTTTTCTTACAAACAACAAACAACATTAAAATATCGGTCTCTATATTTATAATCTCAATTCAAAATATGCAAAAGTTTTAAAATCTCGGTCTTTATATTTGTGCCTTTAAAAAAATATTGAACGCTAAAAATATTCTTAAATTGCATAATCCATCAATAAACTTATTTTTTTTAAAACTACAATGTTATTATATTTTAATATGTATAAAGTAAAAATAATTAATTCATCTTTAGATATATTATTTATAATCTTAATATACTATCATTTGGTGTAGACATTTATTATAGGAATCATAAAATACTTTTATTTCATACAAGTAAATATATTTAAAGAAAATAAGAATATTTCTTCGGGATCAATCGGGTGACTGAATTAGGGTAGTGCTCAGGTTGATTGAATTACTTTTAGGTGGTATTTAAAATAGTAAAAAAAAATTGACACCATTTGGTTGGTCCCAGGTGACTAAGTTTTGTGTCAGTTCGACCACACTAAATCGATTATTAAACCCAAATATAAATTTTATATTGAAAATATTTTATTACGTGAATGTGATGTAGTCCAAACTTCAAATAATCGTATTAACAATACTTTTATGACAATATTTAAGAAACTATGATAAATACAATAAATATTTTAATTTTAAAAACTAAAATTTATATGTAATATAGAATTTTCAATATAGTAATTAAAATATAATCTTTACTATTGTAATGTTTATGTGTAATAAAGTTCCTCTTTATTTATTTATTTAATTGTATGTAAAAAATAACTATAAAAAATTTAAATAATATAATGATATATATCTAATGTCATTTTAAATAATTATAAATAAGGCAATACAATTTTATATAACTAAATTATTTTTTATATGTATTTATGGTAAAATTATGATATATTTAGATTGAATAAAAATAAAAAATAGAGTTATAGTTTTAAAATATTAATAACAATATAAGAGTATAATATTAATTAAAAGTAATTTCTCTTAATATACAAAGAAGAGAGAACTATTAGAATAATATGTTAACATAAAATTTTAAAATAATTATATAAACCATTATTTACATAATAGCTATATACAAACTGTTAATACAATATCTTAGTCAATCAACTATTACTATTCACTATTAGCTAATAGCCAAACAAGGAACATAATATACATAATTGATAAACATATTTTAATTATTTTTCGATTACGCTTGATTATATTCTTTTATGAAGGCAAATATATATATTTTATGTACATATCAAATCAAATGTAGTAATAAATATTAATTTAATGTATCTGTTGATAACTGACTTGGTTGTACATGATTAGTTGAGAACTAATCATATTATTCATTAATCTTTCGAAAAAGACTAAACTTAGCCCAAGTCGGTAACAGTCGAAAAGATACCGACTTCCTCATAGCACAAGCTAAACCAATTACACTCCAAACCGACTAAACTATAGAAGCTTACAGACCGACTTCGCCAAACGACAAAATTACTTGCTATGAAGATTATCCTTTCAACCGACATCCGAGGAGACCAAATTCTTAAGCAAGAGACGTTGTACATCTTCTATTGGACCATCAAGTCAAAGAATAATCATTGATGTTCCCTCATTACATTACACACCGCTTTATTGAAGTTGCTTAGTATTTAATGTGATCTCATCTACCTCGGACTAAAAGACAAAAATAGTTGTACTATAAGTAGCAGAATTTATTATTGTACGGGGATCTTTTTCGACACATTGTACACGGACTGTAAGACATCTCGGTTATGAACAAGAAACCGACTTCCTATACTCTTGTGAATATATCAATAAAATACACATTTTACTTTTGTTTCATGTAATACACACCTTGCTGTTCGTTAATTTGAGTTGTTAATTTCCATACAACAACAGTTTGGGGCTAGAAGGAGGGCTTGAACCTTCGATCGTTTAAATTACAAACGTTCATTTGACACGTTCGTTATAACACTTGTTATGACGAATTCTGGGCAGCAAGAAAGGAACCCAGGTGTAGGGACCAGTCGAAATCCTCATCAGGCGACTAAGGATACACCGGCACCATCTTTGACGATAGATTACTCTTTATTATTTCAAGATCTGGAGTTTCTTCGAAATCTATTTAATTTTATGGCGCACACAAGAACAGGACCTGCTGCAACAGTTCCCAGTCAAACCCCTGTTGCGAATATTCAAATACAGCAACAGATGCCATCTGTCCAACAAAGAAACAACAATCCAGCTGCATCTCATGCAACCTCTTAGCCACGGGTGTCTGTCCCGCGGCAAAATGCAGCTGAGTGTGATCGTGAAGCAGCCACGTTGAATAACCTTCAACCTGGAGGAATTCCACTGGACATAACTGCCGAGTCTCATTCAGGCCGTCGCCGGCAACAACCGACGGTTTCGTCACCAACGACATCGATACTATCGAAAGGAATCGGTCCTGACGTGAGAATGACGAATTACGTCATATTATTGAATGGAACCGGTTGAGACGTGAGTCGGAGGAGTTGGAAATGCTGCGGAAACGTGTTGCCGAATTAGAAACTCGACAAGACGGTCCCGAGGAATCCCATAGAAGGATGCCCCTCTCGAATGATGTCTATCTGGAAGCCGAAACCCCACTAGCTCCACATCTCACAATGGAACCTCTATCAGGAAAAATTAAGGTTCCTCAAATCAGTCTTTATGACGGCACTTCGGATCCAGACGCGCATCTCGGTCAGTACACTTTCTGGATGGACTTTCATGGGGCAACCGACGCATTGAGATGTCGGATGTTTTCATTAACTTTGGGACCTCGGGCTCAGAAATGGTATCACTCTCTACCTCGTTGCTCAATCTCTAAATGGCAACAGTTGAGGACAGCTTTTCGGTCTCATTTTATTGGGGCCCAAGTATCTTTGATCCCAAATGAGTCAATTGCCAATATAGTATAAAAAGATAACGAAAGTGTCAAAGAATATATAACTCGGTTCAATGAACGAGTACAGAACATGGAACAGTGTCATCCGAAAACTTTGTTGATTACTGCTATTGCTGGCTTAAAACCGAATTCTCTGTTCCGATGGAGCATTTATCAGAATAAACCGAGTTTATTTCAAGAGTTTTTGACTCGAGCACAACAACATATCATCGCTGAAGAGTCAATGTCTGTTCCTACCCTCGATTTTTCTACAAATAAATCAGAGTAGGAACAAGAAATCAAGAAGAAGAAGAACAAGTCGTTCAAACCAAATAAATATCGGTTTGGGAATGCTAGAGACCCTGAAGTACAAGAAGCTAGAACCAAATACCAAAATGAAGTCAAATCGAGCTACCAAACCGTCTTTTCAGCTGGAGCCGCAACTATATTTGAGGAATTGAAAGGAAAAGGGATCCTCCCTGATCCCCGACCTGTGAGAACTCCAGAAGACAAGCGCGATAAGACAAAATATTGTTCATATCACAAGTCGGCAGTGTTGGGTTCGATAGTACAGTACGGGCTGTACGCAGCGGAATTTAAAATTTTTAAAGTAAGTATTTATCGTATAAATACAACACCCGTACATACTAATTGCGAATTAACTGATCGTCATCTTTAAAACATGCATCATATACAAATTTTGATTTGTTACTATAAAGTAAATACTAGTAAAAATATTTACCGAATTTCTTGAACTCCTTCACTATTGATGATGGATGAGGGAATCGGTTCCCGGTTGTAACTTCAACGACTTGAGGTTACTCGCTAGAGGAATCCAAGTGTCTTCCCTCTAAACGTATCCACCCTATGAAGCCCGGTTCCGACGACTTTCCTTCGCTAGTAGAAAAGACTCGGTTTTCTTGTATAGGAATATTTATGAATTTTATTTGGGAATTTTAAGAACTCTTTCTTGAAGTTTTATGAAGAACACTTTCTTCTCTTTCTAACACTTAGAAATTTAGGATCAAAAACTTCACTTAAATGCAAAACCATTTTGCATATATTTATACTAAACATTTTAGCATAAAATAATCAACATTTAGTAATATTAAATAAAATCAAATTTTATTTAAATAGTATTTACTAACTTTTGACTTTGAAAATAATAAGATATGTTAAGTAGTTCAAACAACCATCAACAACCATTTTATTATAATCATATTTATTATTTTAATCCTTAAATCATATTTAAAGATATAAATAATAATTGGATAATAAATCTTGAGAATCTTTCTCAAGACTTTATTATTATATCATTTTCCCAATATTATAATAATCATATTATTATTATTTTGGATTTTTGAAATTTAAAATCCTATTTTAAAATTCAACTTTATTAATTTAGTAATTACCTTAATTACTAAAGTAATATCCAAAATGTAATTAATCAATCTTATTGATTAATATATTCCTTTAATTGATATCTAATCAAATTAGATATTTATCAATTAATTCTAACCATTAGAAATACAATCTTTACCTTTGTTCATAATTAGTGTGACCTTTTAGGTTCACCTTAATACTAGTAGTGGGTTTACAACACTTTGTAATTTGAGTTAAATCTTATTAACTCTTATTCATGAATTAACCCTTTAATTTATGAACCCACATATCATGGTAACACCTAGCAAGTAGCATGAATCTAGTATTAAGTGAATAGCGAGTAAACCTATTCCGATTACAACTCCATACATGTAAAATCCTTTCGACATCTAATTTCCCGAT